ACTGTCGTTACCCCCTGTGCAGGTAGTGTGAAAGAAAAAACACAGCATCATCGTACGACCTGACTGTGAGAGGGCTCTGTTCTTAGAATGGCGTTGGGAATTCTTTCAAACTTCCAGTAACATTGCCATCACACACACGTCCCCCGAATAAATCACACTAGACATGCCCCTGGAGCTTCGCCTGGCAGAAAGGTGCTCTGTGACTGGGTTTTGCTGTTTATGTAGGACCTGGAGAGTGGGGATGGGAGATGCAGCTGCGGGCACTGAGTGTCGCTCCATCATGGCACTAGCAGCGCATGGGGTGCTAATATTACCATAAGCATGTGACTGCTATATTTTCCTGAGACACGCACTGAAAACCGTCAGTGAATCTAGCTAAGAGCTGGTCGTTGAAGAAAAAAAAGAGAGTGAACAGCCATTGCTTGGCATGCCGAGCCTATCTGACCCCAGAAAAAAAACAGCTGACAGGCTTGGCTCTAGAGGACAAACAAGTATTCTTCATCTTAGAGGTTGGAAGGTTGCACCCGACATTATACCAACATGCTAAACACGAGGTCAAGCTGAGTCCCGGTGACCAGAGAGCAAGGCAGCTAAATGTCCCACTGAGTCTAGGCCTGGGCTAATGGTTCCGGCACAGCTAGGTCTAGTGTTCGCCACTCCTGAATTTGCCGGGCAGAACACGAACGAGCATGTTAATCCCTAGAAGGGAGGAAAAACAACCAGTCAGCTGCAGTCCTGTCTCCAGCCCTCTAACCGAGAGGGGGAGAGTGAGGCCACTTGCTAACTCCTTAAATGAAAGGCAGAAACATCCGAGACCTGCCTAACTCCATCCATCCATTTTCTTCCGCTTATCCAGGGTTGGGACGCGGCGGTAGCAGCTTAAGTAGGGAGGCCCAGACTTCCCTCTCCCCAGCCACTTGGGCCAGCTCCTCCAGGGGAATCCCAAGGCATTCCCAGGCCAGTTGAGAAACATAGTCCCTCCAGTGTGTCCTGGGTCTTCCTCTGGGTCTCCTCCCGGTGGAACGTGCCCGGAACACCTCACCAGGGAGACGTCTAGGAGGCATCCTAACCAGATGCCCAAGCCATCTCAACTGGCTCCTCTCGATGTGGAGAAGCAGTGGCTCTACTCTGAGTCCCTCCTGCATGACCGAGCTTCTCACTCTATCTCTAAGGGAGAGCCCAGACACCCTGCGGAGAAAATTCATTTCGGCCACCTGTATCCATGATCTCGTTCTTTCGGTCACAACCCAAAGCTCATGACCATAGATGAGGGTAGGAATGTAGATCGACCGGTAAATTGAGAGCTTCGCCTTTTGACTCAGCTCTCTCTTCACCATGACAGACTGGTACAGCGCCCGATTCACTGCTGATGCTGCACCTATCCACCTATCGATCTCACGTTCCATTTTTCCCTCATTCGTGAACAAGACTCCAAGATCCTTGAACTTCTCCACTTGGGGCAGGACCTCCTCCCCAACCCGGAGAGAGCACGCTACCCTTTTCCGACTCAAGACTAGCTGAAAAACTCCTAAAGAAAAAAAAAAACAATAGTCTACCTGTGTGTTCTGCTCTGAGGCAGAGGGCAGACCGGAGCAGCGAACATATCCCGTCCTCTATCATCTTTTTCTGTTTTTGGTTTTCTTTATCTTTTCCATGTGTTGCTTTTCTGGCTGAATAAATTGGGGAGCAGAACGTCAGGTCCGTAGCCAATTTATACGGACGGAGGTGGGGCCCACATAGTGGGTGGGCGTGGACTAGAGTTTTTCAGTGTTGGTGTGCTGCACGGGGGTTAAACTAGTGGGCATGGCTTAAAGGGCAAGACCACAATGAAATAGAACAAGAAGGGGCTTAGAGCTGATCCTTGATACAATCCCACCTCCACCTTGAAGCTATCTGGCACCCGTACAGCACATCTCACCACTGTCCTGCTGTCCTCATACATGTCCTGCTGTCCTCATACATGTCCTGTATCAGTCTAACATACTTCTCTTCCACTCCAGATTTCCTCATGCAATACCACACCTTCTCCCTCGGCACCCTGTCATATGCTTTTTCTAAATCCATAAAGACACAATGGAGTTCTTTCTGACCTTCTCTGTACTTCTCCATTAGCATCCTCAAATCAAATATGGCATCTGTGGTGCTCTTTCTGGGCATAAAACCATACTGCTGCTCACAAATAGTAACCTCTCTTCTAAGTCGTGCTTCCACAACTCTCTCCCAGATCTTCATTGTGTGACTCATCCACTTAATTCCCCTGTAGTTGCTACAACTCTGTACATCACCCTTGTTCTTAAAAATGGGCACCAGCACACTTCTCCATCCCTCAGGCATTTTCTCACCCTCAAATATGCAATTGAATATTTGAGTGAAAAACCTCACTGCCATCTCTCCAAGACATTTTCAGACTTCCTCTGGTATGTCATCAGGTCCTACTGCCTTCTCCTTTTACATTCTTTTCAGAGATTTTTGGACTTCACCCTCACTAATCTTTCCCACTTCATGGTCCACAGTTTCTATGACCTCTATTCTTCGTTCTCTTTCATTCTCTTCATTCATTAGCTCCTCAAAATACTCCTTCCATCTTTCCCTCACACCCTCCTCACTTGTTGGATCATTACCATTCCTATCTTTGACAAGCCTAACCTGCTGCACATCCTTTCCAGCCTGATCCCTCTGTCTCGCCAATCAGTACAAGTCCTTCTCACCCTCTTTAGTGTCCAGCCTCCCATACAACTCATCATATACCTTCTGCTTTGCCGTAGCTACCTCCCTCTTTGCTCTGCATCCCATCTCCTTATATTCCTGTCTCCTCTCTTCAATCCTCTGCCTGTCATATTTCTTCTTGGCTAACCTCTTTGAATAGCTATAATTACATGATTTTAATAATAATAGGTCGAGATCTAAAGTGGGCCAGTCTGAGGCATGAAACTTCAGGGCTGAAAATGAGTCCCATTCCGGCCCTAGTACAAAATGTTTGTATTTGTGCAAAAAGTGCAATAATACCATTTATTATTGAACTTATGTGACCACCACAGTGTTTGAGCCAAGAGCCATTGGCAGCACTTGGGGCTAAACACCCCTAAAGATCAGATCCTAGAATCGCCCCTGATGGTCACCATCTGGATTATTTTGGAGCCAAAAATGTCATATTTTAAACCAAAAAAAGTGAAGCTTAATCAAAATACCAATTTATTTAAACATTATTGAACCTCTCAAAGACCTAATATTTATTTTTGTTATTTTAATCAAAAAGAAAAAAATATATATACATCCATCTTCTTTACCTGCTTCTTACTTTTTGGGTTGCGGGGTTACTGGTGCCCATGTCCAGCCATCACTTTGTGGGAGGTGGGGTACACCCTGGATAGGTCTCCAGTCCATCACAGGGCCACATGAGACAAATGAGACAAACAACCATTCACTCTCTCACTCACACCTAGGGACAATTTATAGTTACCAATCAGCCTAACATGCATGTTTTTGGTCTGTGGGAGGAAACTGGAGTACCCGGAGTTAACCCACGCATGCACAGAGAGAACATGCAAACTCTATCCATAGGGACCCCCGGACCAGGATCTGAACTGGAGACCTGCACAACCACAGACCACCGAATCACCACAGCCCTCTGTGTGGAGCAGAGACCTGCTATCTAGGGCATCCAGCGGAACAGATGGTGAGGGTTAAGGGCCTTGTTCAGGGGTCCAGGATGGAGCAAATAAGGGTGGAGGCAGGTGTTTCACCTTTCCCACCCACCTTTTGATGTTGTCATTCCAGGGAGTTGGACTGGCGACCCTCTGATCACAGGCCCACCTTCTTTAACTTGGGCGCCACCACTCCCCATCAATTTAAAATTACATATATTCAGACAAATCATCAGTGCTGTGTTTTGGATTCTACCTTGTTGCAACTGCTGGAGATTAATTAGCTTTTCTGATTGCAAAAAAGGCAAATTTTTAGCTGCAGCTCCACTGACCTCTGAGTGTTTGTGATAAATCAATCAGAAATTTAAGACAACTTCAGGACACCTGTGAAACCAAATTGTAACTGATTGGAATCAAAAAAGAATAAGATGCAATCGAGAGACATACCGTAAGTGAGACTTTGACTAGAATGTGACAAGAACAACAAAAATGTGCATATCATTTGCAAGAATGCCTCAGAACGTTTTCATATACAACTGTACTCAACTGTGTAGTTAACATCACTTCCATCATAGAAAATTGAGGCTTATGTGGTCAAATATAAGCCTTCATGCACCCTGAAAAAAAATCTAGAACTTGAGTCTACAAAGAGTTTACTCTTGTTAATATTGTTAAATGTTTACAGGACAGGTTCTCCAAAGCAAGTTAATCTCTGAAATAATTTTGTTGCAACTTGAAACCGATTGGTATAAATGCAGAAAACCTGGTGTTGCTCAACTTAAGTGCTAATCAGAATTATGAACATGCAAAGTTAAGTGACAAGATTGATAGGCCTCTGCAATTCATATACGGCATCTGCAAAATTTTGCAAACATTTGGTGACATTTTGAAGAATCGCTTGTTAAGTCTGCACACTAACAAGTCACTGGCATTCTACAAAAAAAAAAAAAAGTTTGATCAATAAACTTAAATCCTTTTTCATGATATGGTTTACACTTTACCAATTATATAGACACATGGAATTTATGTTATAAGAACATTTAATTCACATAAAATAAATTTACATCTGTCGGTGTATGCTGAGAGTAACATGCAAACTGTTTTTAAATTAATTTGGACATTCTCATACAATACATAAGAGAAGTTGCAGTGTAAGAAATGTACTTTGTACAGATCAATATATTCATTGGGATCAGTCTGAATACTTATCAGGAAAAATTTTTTCATTATACTAGTACTATGAAAAGACTATTTTTGGCATAAAGTGGTTCTGCTCAGCATACTCAAATAGTTTCAAGAGGAAGTGGAACAGGCTGTCAGTCAGCATGAACAAAAACATGCTCTGCATACGCCGTACACAATTTGACACGTTATGTCAATAATAAACGTCATATATGAATAGAAATGTGGGCATTTACATGACATTAAGGAATGTCACTTTAAAAGTTCTCTGGTAAATGTTACTGGACTTTTTTGTCTTTATCAGCAACCACCTCTGTGAGGTCCTCCGGTTTTAAGGATTTCACTTTGTCCTCCATCTTAGTGACCCTCTGCTTCAACCTTGCCTGGGTGGAGGTAAATTCTGCCATTAGCTGAGCAAACTTGGTCTGCATCACGTCCAGGTTGCTCTGCAGTTTGACAATCTTCTCATCCAGGTCCTTGGGGTCAGCACCTGCATTTGCCACTGCCTCATCTATCAGATTGTCTTTCATCAGGATAGCTTTGCCCTTCTCTTCCAGAACTTTTTTGGCCTCTGGATACTCAGTAAGGGCTTCCATCAAATCATCTTTAGACAGGGCGAAGAGGTCAGAGTAACCTACGCTTCTGATGTTTGCTGTTCGTCTGTTGCCTGCTTTGCTACCCTTGATACCCAAGATACTGATTTCCCCAAAGTACGCTCCATCGCTGAGCACTACAAACTGAGTGACTCCATCATCCGCCACCACCGCCAGCTTACCCTCTTTGATGATATACATCTCTCTACCAATGTCCCCTTTCTTGCAAATATAATCTCCAGGACTAAACACTTGTGGCTGCAGCTTCAGCACGAGTTCAATTAACAGACCCGCTTCACAGTCCTGGAAAATGCGTACTTTCTTCAGTGTATCCAAATGGACATTGATGGCAATCTCAGCCTTAAGCTTGTCAGGGAGGTTTTTCAAAACTTCCTTCTCATCACAGGTCTTCTTTTCAGTCCACAAGTAGTCAAACCACTTGATGACCCTAGCTTCCAGGTCTTTGGTGACCTTTCTAAACTGCATGTATTGCTTTATGGAGTCAATTTTTGCCTGGAACTCAGCACGAGAGGCATTCATGTTAGAGATCATGGCACCAACGTTACCTACAATACTAGCAAAGATCAGCACACCAGTGAGAAAGTCTGCAATGACAAAGACAAATTCAACATCTTTGACTGGTGCGGGGGTCTCTCCAATGGTGGTGAGGGTAAGCGTGGACCAGTAAAGGGAGTAGATGTATTTACGTGCCAGTCGATTGTTCTCTGGGTTGCTGACATTGGGATATACCCAGGTGTCTGATCCAAAACCAATGGTTTTAGAAATAGCAAAGAACATACAAGCATTCCAGTGGATAATGACAAGGATATAAAGCACAAGATTACTGATACGAAACATGTTCGGAAAGCTGGTTCTGGTCTCTGTCCGCTCAAAGAACTCAAAAAGCCTCTGGATTTTGCAGAGACGATTGAAACGGAACTCTGGGTTGTTGAATCCATATTGCAGAAAAAGCAGATCAGTGGGTATGATTGAAAACATATCATATTTGAAATGAGGTGTTTTTCTGTAGTTATCTCTTAGTTTTTTGGCATCTTTTACCAGCAGGCCTTGCTCAAGATAACCTAAGAGACAAACATACAATAATGCGCTTAAATACAACGGAGACAAAGGTAAAGTGTTCTATTGATTTTCTTTTCTTGAATCTCACCTGTTCTTGATCGGACAAATGTGTCCATGAGGTATATGACATCTGATGTGTAATCCAAGAATATCCAGAGCTTTGGATAGGAGTCTTGGAGATCATTAAAGCAAGCTCTAAAACAGAAGATGAAGGATAATTTTATTAGTGCCATACTAAGTAAATAATAAGTCATTATTGATAATATTATACCTGGTTACTATCATCATCAGGTTATAAAATACTGGGCCTGCAATGATGCTCAACCATCTGTAGTACAGTTCCGAGGATGGATCCATAATCCAGATTTCTTTTCTGGAAACAACTCAATGTTAAATGATGCTGTTATAAGGGTTGTCAGTTGTGAAATAATCATTACATAACCAGAAATGTAATTTCTAAAACTAATCATTTATAATTTAATCTATCTAATAGAATACTCACGGGGGCTCCTCTTTCTTTTTCTCATCTTTTTTATCTTTTTTGTCATCTTTCTTTTCATCTTTCTTCTCATCTTTCTTTTCATCTTTCTTCTCATCTTTCTTTTCGTCCTTTTTCTCATCTTTGTTTTCCTCTTTCTTCTTCTCTCCGTCCTTATCATCCTTTTTCTCCTCATTTTTCTCTTCTGTCTTAATTTCATCTTTTTTGTCCTCTTTTTTGCTACAGATCACAAGTTTAGTTATAGGAAGTACAGTGGGTCACGAGTGGCTGTAACAGCTAATTGGCTACTTTGAAGGGGAACTATTGAGTTTCAAGTTGGATGGATGGTTTGTGTGAAGGTCTGATGCAGATCAAACACTCCCCAGCAGATGGCACAGCATTCCTAAAATTAATATCTTGGTAAAGCAAGTTCAAGGCAGCAGTCTGCAACCTGCAGCTTCAAAGCTTCATGACGGTCTTTAGCCTCTCCGAACCACACATGATATGAACCTTTATGTTTAACTTTCATTGACAAAAGGAAAGAGTAGTTGTGGCGATTTAGTTACTGTATACAAATGTGTGCAATAAATGCATAGAATTTCTGCAGCTTTTTGCTAATGCACACAAAAAATAAACAAAAAAATTCCACAGTGCAACATGTAAAGCTGTATATACTTAAATAAATATTGATAATTATTTAAAAATATATGTATTTTTATCCTATTATAATGATCAGGTAGATTTTGTGACCTAATACACATTTTAATTAGTAATAGATAAAAATGGTTATTTGAGTTGTAAAGGTTGCAGACCCCTGTCCTAAGACTTTGATTTGTCCAACCCACATCAAGACTTCCAACAAAAACATAATGTTATGCATATAACTACTGTTCTCTGAAGGAGATGGTACAACATATGAAGTATGGGATTTCACAGCCCTGATTTCCCGACTGAAGATGCCTCTAATCACGCCTTTAGGTAAATAACATGATGACCACATTAAAGATCCTGCCTGCACTATAAATCTGTTCATCATCACTGTCACTCCACAGTTCAACACATGAAGTACATGAAGTGGTAAATGCTCTGCAGAAAGTCATCAAACCTGGGTCAAATACAGCATGCTACTGTAGAACCTTAGACCAGCAGCTCATGAGCACCCCTCTAAACAGGTTCCAGAATGTTGCTACACCCCTGATAGAGTTTCCTCTTATGTCTTAAAGGGCTGAAGACCCCTGTTGTTGTAGGCTAGAGAAATAATCTCCACAGTCCAGTGGGAGAATCTGCGTCTGGACAGAGCCTTGCCTTTGGCTGGATTAGTAACACACACACACACAAACAGCTGATCACACAACCTCACAGCCTGTGTGCGGTCAATGTGAATGTGCAGTGCAATAAAGGGCACAAGGAATGCAACATCCTTTGCTTTTTGGATACATAAGGAGGTGGACAAAAACTTGAGAGTGCGCAATTGACACGGAGCTGTATTCCGAACTGTAGACCTTTGGGAGATGTGCTGCATTTGTTCACCTTGGAGCAAAATATTCAACAGTTTGTCTTTTTGCAATCCAAATACTGTCCATAGCTGGGTTTGTTTCATGAGGATATCAGCTTTGAGAGAAAGTCTGGGAACATGGGCAGATGGTTTTGATTGCGGCTGGCTTCGCATGGAAATAAAATCTCTCAACGACAGGTTCCCCATCCAGGTTTTCAGTTGCTCCTATAACAAATAATGGACATCAAGGGCAATGTTCAGCAGCTCCTCGTGTCTGTGATGGGACATGAGCGACATCCTTCTCATTATTTGGCTAACCCGTTATTTATTTTATTATTTATTAACCTTTACTTAACCAGGCAAATCCTATTGAGATCACATATCTCATTTGCAAGGGAGGCCTGAAGGCAGCCTAACATGCATGTTTTGTTCTGCGGGAGGAAACCGGAGTACCCGGAGAAAACCCACACAAGCATGAGAAGAACATTTAAACTCCACACAGAAAGACCCCGGGTCCAACCGGGAATTGAACCCAGGATCTTCCTGCTGTGAGACAGCAACCTCCCACAGCACTTGCTCTAAGAATCTGTGCTTCTCTAGAGTCAAGCACCAAAGCTGGTGAACTGAACTCACACGCCCTTCAGGCGTGAACGTTTTCCAGAGAAATGGGACAAGCCTTTTGCTATTCCATCTAATGAAGCGATAAGCCTCACTCATGGGGAAGAAGTGCACAGAAGACTTCTGTTTCACTTGTGTTAGCTATGTGCTTTCCACAAAAGCCAGAGTAAAGAAATACTCAATATCAGCACTTTGCAGGCAGATAGGCTAACAGCAGGCAACAGTAACTAACAAACAAAAATAGTTCAGCTAATTCTAAGCAGCATTTGCTAGACACAGAACTTATGGTAAATGAACAGTACTTATATAGCACCTTTCTATCTAATCAAGATATTCAAAGTGCTTTACTACACAATCTGCACCCTCATTTGTACCTCCACACACACATTCATACAGCACTCTACCAGGTCTCTACAAAGATAATTGAACAAATCATTATATGGAGACTAATCAGTGCTTGAGATCACATTCATACACTGATGGGACACACATCGAAGGCAATGAGGGGTTCAGTGTCTTGTCCAGGGACACTTCAACATGTTATTACTGGTGAAATTGAATCCCAACTCTCCCATTGGAGGACGACCGCTCTAATCACTCAGGCACAGCTGCCCACGACTTAGAAATGACTATGATGATGGGCGAATATATAGAGCAGCCTGGGCCTGTCACTTGTCATCAAGTCATTGGCCTAAAGGTGTGATTAGATGTGTCTTGAGCCAGGACACAGGGTGTGTGATATCCCATACTTCATGTGTTGCACCAAGTGAATTGACTGAAAGGGAACTCAAACAAGAGAGAATTTGCTATAAAGCAGGTTTGGGGATTTGAAAAAAAGGGAAATGGGGTTTTGAAGTATTTATGAAGTTACTAACTTTGCTACTCACAAGATGAACAGCAAAAAGTACTAAGAATATCAAGTGTATTTTATGACTACTGGGTTTATCTTCTGGGGATATCTATATCTACCTTCAAATACATACATGCACTTACTCATCTGTGTTGTTGCAGTTATTTAGATTGTACGTAGCAAGAGGCCACTTACTGATGAGACTTTAAAAAGAAACAAAAAGAAAAGTTTTTGCATACAAGACAACAATATAGAAATGGTTATTTTCATGTTTTGGTTTATTAAAAATCTATCTATCTATCTATCTATCTATCTATCTATCTATCTATCTATC